CAGGCCCAAACCGAAGACGAAGAACTCTGGGCACTTCTGAACTCCTCCCTCAACGTCCCTCTGTCTGACGGCCTTCCCACTTCCGGCCTCGTCCTCTACTATTTCTTGTGACATGAGTACTGGATCGCCTCCTGCACCACTTCGTCGTACAGTGTTCACAGCCCTACACTCCCTCTCACACCCGGGAGTGCAGGCGACACAACAGCTCATTGCTGAGCGGTTCGTTTGGCCATGAAAAGGACATGAAGGTCTGGGCACGTACTTGTCTCCCTTGTCAACGATCTAAGGTGCAGCGGCACAAAAATACCCCGATCGAGGACAACAGTTCGAATCCCGATTTTGGGCCCAACTTCTCCAGCTGCTGGGCTGTAAACATCTCTGCACTACTGCCTATCACGCAATTTCCAATGGGATCATCGAGCGTTTTCACTAACAGCTCAAGGGAGCCCTCCGAGCTTCACTGCACTGGACAGAATGGCTTCCATTGATCCTACTTGGCATTCACACTGCCCTCAAGACTGATCTGCAGTGCAGTGCGGCAGAATTTGTGTACGGCACAACGTTGCGACTACCGTGAGAGTTATTTCAGCACTACTTCACCAATGCTATTGAGGAACCACACATACTACTCACCAGAGTCAAGACGGCAATGCGAGAGCTCAGAGCGGGTCCAGTGGGTGAACAGTCTCAGTGCAACACTTACGTCAGCAAGGATCTAGCCACCTGCACCCATGTGTTTGTACGTAACGAAGCTGTTCGTAAACCCCTCGCTCTGTAGCGTGAAAAGGGTGCGGCTGAGAGGCTCAGCATGCTAAATTGGAAGAAGTAGAAAAACTTCTTCAAAATGAAGGGGGGTATAGGGATGGCGTAAAAGGATACCAACAAGAAGATGCTACAGCTGAAAACAAAAAATCACACAACCATCCCTACATTTTTCTTTACTCACAACCTCATCTGTGATTTCATGTGAATTAGTTTACAATGACAAGTAGCTACCTAAACATTATAAAGAAAGAAAGATGTAGGGATGGATGTGTGACATTTATTTTCAGCTGAAGCATCTTCTTGTTGGTATCCTTTTTCATAATATTTTCGCCATCCCTACATCATTTTGAAGATATGGTTTATCCACTTGTATATATGCCCGTGGCTTGCTAAGGGTTAATCAAGCTTGCTATTGAATGAAAGAACAATGTGCACAAGTTAAAAAATTTAAAAAAAGTGTGGAATATAGGGATGCCATAAAAAGCAAGGAGACAAGACAGGGATGATCTAGTGCATGTGATGCAGTAGTACGATGGCACTTCCAACTGACATTTCTTAAATTTTACTCCACACAAGCCCTATATTGTCGCAAAACATGAGTGATCTCTATCGTATGATGTGCAGCTATGACTTGTTTCCTATATGCACGTAAGACTAGGTAGCTAATGCTCTCTCTGACAGGTCCTCAGTTTTGAATCGTGACTGCGTTTACTTCAATGTTCGCTCAAGACCAGTGTTGCAATGCTGCTTTCTATACAGAATCCCTTTGCCAGTTTTCACACTACATCATTCACCATGTCATGAGTAAGAGTGGCGACAATATAGGGCTTGTGTGGAGTAAAATTTACACACAAGCAAGAAATGTCAGTTTGAAGATGTAACCATCATCATCCATTGTATTACTGCATCCATGCACTAGGTCATCCCTGTCTTGTCTCCTGGCATCCCTATATACCACACTTTTTAAATCGAAGAATTTTTTTGTTTACTTGTCTCCTTTCCTTTTTTTACTGCATTCACATGCATGGTGTGCAATATAATTTTGGGGCATAAGGGTCCCCATCATAATGTATGGCCTGGGGCTATTTTTTGTTGTTTTTTGATTATTTACAAACAAAATATGCTATTGCACGACCTGTCATGGATTCCAATCTTTGTGCAAGGTTTCATCTCCATATCTTATTTGGTTTTTGAGGTACGCTTGTCGAAACTGAACAACAACAACAACAACAACAACAACAACAAGAATTTTGAAAACCGACATTCTTGAATAAATCAATTACCGATTACTTGATTTAAGCCATTTCTTGGGTAGATGCTTTTTTAAAGATACGGATCAGACTGATGTGTCAGATGATGGATATGATTGAAACTGAAAGTGAAATCTACAAATCTCAAATGTATGGGCATAATGCAGGACTACCTGTGTCATCCCTATAATACTAAGTACTACCGTACTTGTGAGACGTTTAATACTCTTTTTGTAAAGCAGCGTTTGATGGGTCAAGGCAAATGAGAGCCTGGGGATTTTTCCCCCCTTCATACTGACACATTTCATTTAATATGTTGATCTTATGGATCTGCAGTCAGCGGAAGTGACTATGAAGCAATTAATGAAGTGTTGGCATTTGGTCCCAATCAGATTCAACACTGTGTGAATGTTAGCATCATAGATGACCTGATGTATGAACCATGCGAGACATTCCGTCTCACTCTCACCAGTTCTTCCACCACTCCCTTGTTTGTCTCTCTCGGTGTAACAGCTGGAGCCGTCATCATTTTTTATCATGATGAAGATAACATTGGGATGAACAGGTTCAAGATACTCTCTGCAGAAGAGTTGGGAAATATCAGCCTACGACAGAATCCGGAACTTCTTAAGTATGCTGCTCGTACTGGGGAGACTGTCAGGATTGAAGTCACGGCCAAGGAACAAGGTGGTATTGTGCAAGAGGGCGTCACTACAACAATAGACTGTGGTCCATGGTTGAGCCCAATGGCACAGTACGGTGGTACAAATATCACTACGAAGATCTGGACCACTCAGAACTGTACCCACCGATTGAGCAGAGACCTGAAGTGTTAAATAGTACTTTTATTCCACGTGCTCTCATCACCGGGGATTACATTGAAATTTATACAATAATCAGAGGCTTAATATCACTGGACGCTAAGGATTACAGCCGAGGAATATACGAATGCCAGGTTTGTGTTGACGAGGGACTTAGCGAGACCGAGGTGTGCCACAGTGCAAACACTACCATTGCCAATGTTGGAAGACCACCAATTTTGGACGTCGGTGTGGGAAGAGGTGAGTTTGATGCTAGAATCATGCCTATAGGAGAACAAATGCAACATGTTTCTGGGAGTGTCTGCGATAGTCACAGGAGCGCACAACAAGATTGTATTATAGAGTTACATAAAACTTGCGGTATATGCGACAGTGTTTTCCTCGGCCTGTTGAATATCGCACAGCTTAAGAAAATAGAGTATTTCAATACTCACAATGATCTATATTGTTTACCGCCCCAGCGGCAGACTCAAATGAATTCGTGGATGTTTACAACATTGGATCAACTGTATGCCTTGATATTCATCCATCTGATTACAGCAAGAATAGACCAAGATATGTTTTGAGGCTTCACTGTGGTGATCTGGGGGCAGATTATGAAAACGATATTCCCAGTCTTTTACCTCTACCTGCTGTTGTTACGTTGCATCATACCTCATTGAGTAATATATCGGCTTATTTTGCAATAGAGGAGTCCTCTGTAAGGATAGGTGATATTGACTATATGCCTCCAGACCGGTTTACTAAGGCGTTTAGACCGGACGGAATAGCATTCACAGCTCAGAGTGTCTTTGAGTTTGATGTAAGCAATGTGACTAGTAGCCCTTCAGACTTGGACTACCTAAACTTGAGAACAGCATTTGGTCTGTGGGAGTGCACACTCAGTAATTCACTGGGCAGACAGACTGCGACAACTTTCATCAGCGACTCGTATGAGTAATAATTGACTGTGTTAGTCTGCATTCACTTGTAACTATGCCCTATTTCAGAGATGGCTTTTACAGTTAAAAAGGAGGTGATATTGATTTGCCTTAGACATAGTTAACAATAAGTACACAATGCTTACAATGACACGATTCTGTAATTTCTCCCTATACCCCACCCTATTCACCCCAGGCATAACAGTGGGACTGGAGTCATCATCCTACACTGTCTCAGAATCAGAGGAAGTGGTTGAGATATGTATCAAAGCAGAGGGAGTCAGTAGTCTGTGTAACATCACTCACCCTTTCCAAGTCATTCTGTCGTCTTCCGACGAAACTGCAGGTATATATAGTAAGTATTATTGACACTCTTGAAGTCATCTGTTACAAAACATGAAGAATCCCCGAGTTTTTTAATAGTAAAAACAATTTATGGGTGAGAGTTACATATTTTTTGAACTCAGTGTTTCCTTCTTAATTAAGGGAATGTTGCTGTATAATATTAGGACTTAATTAAGAAAATGGTACTTAAAAGAGAACTTAATTGCATTCTTGCACTGGGATGCTTCATCTTTTTTAATCTGCCATATTCGCTTTAACCACATTGATTATTGCAACACAATGCAGACAGTTTCACAGACTATGAAACAGTGAATGAGACTGTGACATTTTCTCCCTGTGAGAGCCGACGTTGTGTGAATATGAAGATCACAGCAGATCTGGTGAACGAACAAAATGAGACATTTTTTATGAATCTCACAAGAACAATTAATACACACTTTTTCAATGCTCTCGGCTCAACAACTGCAGAGGTGGTCGTTATTGATGATTGTAAGTGTAAAGTGTTTTTCTGTTTCTTTAAAAGAGAAGAGGCGGTAGCATGAAAAAGCCTAAAATAAAAACGGGTCATAGGGATGGCTCAAAGCATGAAACACACACTAAAGTACATGACTTGATCCCTATATCTTATTCTTTGTGTACATTATTTGCTGTAACCATGCACACCTTTGTGTTTTCCCAATGACTGTTGCTTATAACACGTTATACGATGGCTTTGCTTGTGGTTTACTGGTTGTACACTCGTGGCTTCAGTTTTGATAGACCACTCGGGCTACGCCCTCGTGCCCTATCAAAACTGGCCACTCGTGTAAAACCAGTAAACCACGCGCCGCCACCGTATAACCTATACATAGTCCATTTCTCGAATAACTTCATTACGTTTTACTCTGTTGCGCAGTACTTGGGTGTTATTTTGTAGCACTTAAAGTTCCCGTTCCTTTAGTCTTAGTTTCGTACAAATCCAATGCATAGTGTTTGTGACATTAGAAAAGTCCTCCTTTTCAATGTACTGTGGTAAAGTGCATTCTCAACTTGAACATACTATATTATAGAAAGTTTTATAGTGCATGCCACACAGCAGAGAGGTCCTCTCTTTATAAACTATACCTTGACCAATGACTTTACTCAGATGTATGTGTTGTTTCTCATAGAGCATGTTCTTTGTGTGTAGCTCCTCCTGTAGTTGATGGACCAGATCCACTGGTGGGGGTGGAGGAGACGACACTTCAGGTAGGGGACTTGTTGTAGCCAGTTCACTGAAATCAGTTAAGTTGAGTACATACTTTGCATATCATGTTAGATGCTGCTCAACCTGACGAATACAGACTTATCTATCCTATCAACCAATTCTAAGTAGCCAAGTCCATACAAAATCTAAGAATAATCTGGATGATTAAGTGAATGTGTCTGTGCATTAGGGCTAAATTTAGAAATGTTCCGACCCCGGCGAAAAATCCATTTACGTTTACGTTATTAGTAACATATAAAATTTAGCTCTCATATAATACTACATTCCTTTTAAGGTCCCCTTCTGAATTTCAGGGTTCACTTTAGCGAGCTTTTGATTAGTGCATTTCATATTCCACTGTAGTATGATAAGACCAATAAACTTACTATCCAGCGCGGTCTCCTTCCTTTCGTTTTCTTTTCTTCAAAACAAATAACAGTACTACAATACACACCACAGATAGAGTCACTCCAACAACTGATGCAGATGTAGCAATTGCTGCAACTGTAGTAACTTCTGCTGTGTTTGTTGTGTCTCTGTTAGTGGTAGTACCCACTTGCTCTGTGTCAGGCATTGCTAGGTGAACATGTATGATGACATCCCGCGGTAAGGCTCTGACCAATGAGATTGCGCAAAAGCTTTCAAAACGTCCTCTTTTTAACGCACACCCGGTACCCTCGAGAGTGTACGGAGCTAGCTAGCGATCGATCGGGAGCGGAGAGACAGCTGCAATAAGCGCTTTAGTTTGGTCAAGCTGGGCGGTTGTGCAGAAGCCATGGTCATTTTTTCGAGAGTTCAACGTTACAGGTACGCCACCTTTTCGTTGCTGGACTCCACACACGAGTTTTGTAGCTGCCGCTCTGGCTCGCTTTCTCTCCCGCTATACCCAGCGCTCTCGAATGCAGCCTGTTGCAGTAGCAAGAAAGCTGAAAGCCACATACTGTTCCAGTCTACGGGAGCCTACGCGTCGGGAAGCAGTTTTTAGCTAGTTTTCAGACAGCGTATATACTAGAGCAGTTTCTGGCCATTCCAGCCTGAAAACACTCCCTTCTGGTAAAGAAACAGCAGCACACAGAGTGTAAAAGCCCCTAATTGCATAACACGCGGCCAATTTCCTACTATCGTATAACTACCATAATTATACCCATTGTGGTTTATGCAAATGAGTTGACATACAGCTAAAGTATGGGGAAATCATATGGCCACTTTATGGTATAACTACCCGTAAACTCAGCAGGAAGCGCTCACTACGCGTGTACGTTGTTTGGACTAGCTGGAATTCCTTTGATCTTACTCTCAGTCATCATACAATTCCTAGTAAACCCCAGTAAGCATAATGCTATTGCATGAATCACTGGGTGTCGACCCTAAACCAAACCTAGGATAACAGGAAAAAGAGCTGCCCTGTGTGGGACTCAAAATTAAAAAAAGTCAGCCAATCTGCTTTCTAGACAGAGTCCTCTACCAGTTGCAGCATGGGCTTAAACTGTACACCAGTATATACATCATAATGATTTAACATCAACTGCAGGCGAGTCAGGTCTTGTGTATCGTGGATACATAAACGGAAACGAATTGGTTGCTGTTAAGACTGGCAAAGGTATATTAGTTTTAACACACAAGCTGTTTTGCTTATGCTTTTTTAAACAATTTCCAGCCCTGTTATCCGTAGCTAACAGGGAAAAACTTCTGAAGGAAGTAATAATGATGCTATCATTTGACCACCCCAATGTGATGTCGCTGATTGGGATGTGTCTTGATGGAGAAGTGCCCCTACTCATTATGCCGTTTATGTCTGGTGGCAGCGTATTGGAGTTTGTCACTCAAAACAGGGAAAATCTCCACTTCACTCATGGAGCTGCCAAGAGTGAAGTATGACATAATCAGAGCTTTAGAGAAATGCACTCGTATAAGCCAGCCCATAAAAACCTTTTATAATTATGGTGGATTTTTTATAACTCTACTGTACATAGGCTACAGAAGGACACATACGCAGTTTCAAAGGCAACCACAAATATTTTTTTAATGCAAACTCAGTGGTTCAGGCATTTGTCCAAGTGTTCTCCACAAAATTCAAATTTGCTAAAATTCATTATACCTAGCTGACTAAAGTTTACGCAGATAAAAAATGTGGTATCGTTGACAGATTTTTAATGCTAGAAAGAAGTGTATGGACATGTGTCACCAGATTGCTAAAGGAATGAGCTACCTGGCCATGAAGAGGTTTGTCCACCGTGACCTGGCAGCCAGGAACTGCATGTGAGTAGCTTCCACATGCTATCATTTAATATGTGTGTACACCATGTGTTAAAGCAACTGCTTTTGACATACATACAAACTTGCAGATAGAGAGACAAAGTTTATTTTTGTTACTGACACCACAAAAATAAGGGCCAGACACGCGTGTTCTAAGTTGTTAATAAAAGGCAGTAGATTTTCTGGTTGAATAGATATTTTTTGCTTGATTTTGTAACGCAACAACTCGGGTGTTTAACTAGCCATGCTGTTTATCTGGATACAGGATTGATAATGGAGCAGTAAAAGTTGCAGATTTTGGACTGGCGGAGGATATGTATGGATCAAACTACTGCCATAACAGCAGGAGTGAGGGTGGGGAGAGGGTACCCATCAGGTGGATGGCTCCTGAGAGTATTGACACCAACATCTACAATCAAACCACTGATGTGGTTAGTGGCTTGATGAATTTTTGCTAGTACATGCATCCGGCATTGACTGATCTAACATTTGATCCCCAGTGGTCATTTGGAGTGACATGTTGGGAGGTGTTCACATGTGGTAGAATTCCCTACACTGGAGTATCAGCCATGACTCTGCTCTCTGAGCTTCGCTCTGGGCACAGACTTGAGAGACCCTCCAATGTTGCCTGCTCCAATGAAATGTATGTGTGACCTCCCACTGAAGACGTAGACAATTTCCATGAGTGCTTTGGGGGAGGGGGGAGGAGGGAGAGGGTTCGTTATTTATTTTTCCAATCAGCTTTTGGTGCATGTACCTTTTAAAGGGAGGGTTTTTGGCTATATAGCTAGCAGTGAGAGGGGCTTGTCAGACTAAGTATGCAGACCATGATAGACGAACTGCTGCAGTTGGAACCTTGCTATTTCAGCCACAATAGGGCTCGCTGTTTCAGCCACACTAGGGCTCGCTATTTCAGCCACACTAGGGACTTGAAAAGGTTGCTGGATTAGTTAGTGAGAAGGCTGCATTTCAGGGTGAGTTTTTTTATAATGAGAAACATACATGGGTTCATATGTGCCAAAGGCATCGGCTGCTTTAATATTGAGATGTTTTCCAAACTCAGCGGGTCAGGCATTTTCTCCACAAATTCTGATTTGCTAAAATTGTTAGGTGTTAGCCAATGCTAGTATTAGTGAGATTCCACTGTAGCAGCTGCAAGTCTGTTGCAGGTGGGAGATGATGACATCATGCTGGCTGGCTGATCCTCAGCAGAGGCCAAAGTTCAGCCGTCTATTCAGAAAGCTATATAATCTGCTGGACTCTGACTGTGCTTATCTCAGGCTCTAGCTCCTTCTGAAAACTTTTCTGTCGCTAAAATTAATGAACACTCTGTGGTACTTGTGTATAACACTTTTGCACCTTGTTATTTGTAGAGCATGATGTATAGTTGTCTGATATGCAACAATTGATTGGTGGGGCCATACAGGGATAACTATTGTGTGCAAACATAGCTACCTGTGTGCTAGTAATCTGCACCATTTGCAATGCCGGTGTGAGTATTTCCAAATCCCTGTAGCTAATAAACTGAATCCGCCCACACGTGTGCATGGCAGTAATGTACCGTGTAAATTTTAACACACCTAAATGGCCTATAGTTCAGCTTGGATCTAATCACTTTACCTACCTAAATAGCTACATAGTTATGCTATACTAAAGTCAAGTCATTACTACAGTTCAACCCCTTAGTGCGCATGTGCAGTGATAGCTAATTGTAACCAAAGATTAATATTGGGAACAAAGTGTACATTAAAAACAGAGTGTTGACTGCTCATTTCTATTACCAGGTCACACAGGTAGCTATCGATGCAATCATGCAAATATCGGGGTCTTCTTATAGTGTTCAAATCTTGTTTGTTGTTGGTGTTGGAGCACAATATCGCTAATGTTAGACGCAGTGGACCATTACATGAACAGCAGAAGCAGAGGCACTGCCAAAGAACACAAGAGTCTTAAATTACCAAAGCAGTCATTCCTAATGAAGTAGACATGGTAGATGGCTGTAGAGGGGTAAGAGCCAAGGCCGTGTGCATATAGAAAGCCAAAGCAGTGAGTAAAAGGGTGGTTCATGCATTAGCCGGTTGCATAACCAGGTGCAGGCGGTTCGTTGAACTGGTGAGCCCCGACGAATCGTAATACAGAACGTAGCTGGAGTACATGGGGAGAAAATGGATGGTCACAATGTGCATGCTAGAGATGTGTGGCAGGAGAGAAACCATCACTTGATGTCCGTGTACACATCCGTCGACCGAGCCGTCGACTAGAAAAAAATAGCACTTCAACTAGCTCTGATAACGACATAGTGCATGGGTTTAATGAAGAATTGACACGAAATCGCATAGCAGAGTTCGCATGAAGTGAGAGCATTGGGCTTCGGTGCTATGTATAGTTAGGCCAGAGCCTGTGAGCCCAGCTGGCACATTTTTAAGGCTTAGATAGGCGTTTTCGCTCGAAATATTACTGATGTTTGGTCTTCACATGCCAAACCCTTATGAAGATATGAGACAGTGAAATGGAAGCGAGCCGTTGTCTGCTCGTGGTATGTAGGTGCCTCCTCCGTGTGGCTCGCAGCACGAGAGAGAGCTGAGGGTTCCGATGGGTTGGGTCTTGCAAAGTATGTGCTAGGGATGGTACAGTCAAACCGTGTTGCTATTCCACCTACCAAACTGTTGCAAAGATTGTTTGCATTTATGTGTCTAAAAATTCGTTGTCATATATAGGAAAAGGGAGGCATGCATGGCAAAGGGTGCAGTATATTACTGCTGCATATATACATACAGTCGAACCTCCCAATAGTGGACACATTATAATATAGCAGACAGTAGGCTTGTGGAGAGGCAAATTTACACGAGCAAGCACTATCAGTTTATTTTCGTTGTACTATTATCCTTGTCACGTCTGTTTGATTTCATACCATCCCTATAAACACTCATTAATTTCACTTGCACACTAACTATTACTATATTATGGATGGACACGAAGAGTTAAAAAGTGGCACACTAGGCAACAATGTGGGATTGTGTCATTGGCTTGGGAGTGTAAGCATTCTCACAATCTGGCCATTAACCATGCTTCATGTATCCATCTCTATCTTGTCTCCTTCCTCTTTCATACCACCCCTATATCATACCTACCAACCATCCCTTGAAAGCAATAATCCCCACCAGCAAATCTCTCTTTTTGTGAGAACCTGGAATGCGCACCTTGCCCATACATTTTGAAGGAGTAGATACACAGCATTTTAAAGATAAATATCCCAAATCAAGGTTTATTTGCAGGTTGGTAGCATGCTATTCCACCATTTGCAGGATACTTGTATTTCAAGATAATTATACTGACGGTTGTAAGAGTAAAGAGTGTTATATATTATTATAGAGCAGCCCTATGAATAGTCAAACGGACTGAAAGCTGCATGTTTCGCAAAACGTAATGTGCAGCGCAACATCAAATACCAAATAACTGAGCACTACTACTATATATGGACAGTGGTTGCACATAGTATTAAAACGTCCCTGTCTTGTCAGTTGCTGTTCAAAGGATAGTGCATGAGCTATCATCCCTGGCGTTCCTCCTGGTTGCTTGGGCAACAGGTGGGGCTGGGTTGACAACGGGTGGGGCTGGGTTGACAACGGGCGGGGCTGGGTTGACAACAGGTGGGGCTGGGTTGACAACGGGCGGGGCTGGATTGACAACAGGCGGGGCTGGGTTGACAACGGGAGGGCTGGGTTGACAACGGGTGGGGCTGGGTTGACAATGGGTGGGGCTGGGTTGACAACGGGCGGGGCTGGGTTGACAACACACGGGGCTGGGTTGACAACGGGCGGGGCTGGGTTGACAACGGGCGGGGTTGGGTTGACAATGGGCTGGGCTGGGTTTACAACGGGTGGGGCTGGGTTGACAACAGGCGGGGCCGGATTGACAACGGGAGGGGCTGGGTTGACAATGTGCGGGGCTGGGTTGACAATGGGCGGGGCTGGATTGACAACGGGTGGGGCTGGGTTGACAAAGGCGGGCGGGGCTGGATTGACAACAGGTGGGGCTGGGTTGACAATAGGCGGGGCTGGGTTGACAATGGGTGGGGCTGGGTTGACAACGCACGGGGCTGGGTTGACAATGTTGACAACGGGTGGGGCTGGGTTGACAACGGGTGGGGCTGGGTTGACAATGGGCGGGGCTGGGTTGACAATGGGCGGGGCTGGATTGACAACGGGTGGGCTGGGTTGACAATGAGTGGAGCTTGGTTGACAACGGGCGGGACTTGGTTGACAACGGGCGGGGCTGGGTTGACAACAGGCGGGGCTGGGTTGACAACGGGTGGGGCTGGGTTGATAACATGTGGAATGTTTGCAGGTGGAGGTGGAGGCAAAATAGCTGGACAAGACCCCATGTGATTGTAGCATTCAGATTCTCCTTTAAAACACTGCATACACATCCAACAAATATGGGCACCACAGTTACATGTCATATGCAGGCAACCTCTATTCTTCTCAATTGGGGTATGACACTTTGGACATTTTTTCCTATTATCTGGGTCTTCTCCATCCACTCCAATAGCTCTTCATCACTTTTCCTGCTAGCCTTGTAGACGTCACAACTTAGACCGGCATGGTATTGCTCATGGCATTTAGAGCATGTGCTCACTGAACAGCTACTGCAAATGAATTCTCTGCTAATCTCTGTCTGCATGTAGATCATCTTGCAGTCTGGGGTGGGGCAATTTTTGTAGGCATCGGTGTTCTTCTCCATAAAGCTTTGTATAGCTGCAGAAACAAGGACTGGCATTCGGAACGTTTTCAGTTTCTTCTGTAAATTTTCAAAGTCTTTCAGTACAAACTCCTCGGAACAGTCTTCCTTAGCACACCTTACTGGTAGCGTAAGAGTATCTGGCTTTAGTTGAATTTTAATGCAGTCAGTGTGGAATGCATGACCACAGCATTCCAAGCGCACTATTTCCTTGGGTTCATCGATGGTGGTAAAACATGCCACACATTCAAAGTCATATTCACCTTCCATCTTTCTCTGAACGACCTGAGAAGAAACTGAGACTTCTTCGACACATTTCCTTATAGCATCAAGACCTCTCTCCGTGGCAAGCACTGATAAAAGATGTAAATGCGGATTTAAAGTGATTCTCCGTACACCCTCAAATTCCAGCATACCATTCAGATCGCATCCATACCTAGTTACCAGGTGTTTCATGAGTCCTGGTGCCTTCCCCTCACCTCTCAGACCCAGATCTGTAACTAATGCTCCATCACTGAATAATTGCTTCGCTTTCTCTTCAATTGCAGCTTTTGCAGCTTCTTTGTTTTTGCCGTCTCCATAGATTTTTATAACCATTGTACTTGGATCACGGCATATGTACGTTGATGTAGTTTCTTTAGTGTCTTGAAGGTGTTTGTGAGAGTCATGACACAGCATGTACTCTTGCAGCTCTGTAGTGTTGCAGTGTAATGTGTACAGTTGACCTGCTTCATAAAGCTCCCGCTGCGCAACCGAAAACACCTTTACATCGTATGCAGTCAGCGAAATTCTGGTCAAATTCTGCACTTTTTTGTCCGGTGGGATAACTTTTATGTAAACAAGTTTTAGGTAGCGCCGAAGAAGATCTTTTCTTGCTTTGTCGAGATCGTCAAAGATTAGGGTGTATACTTCTTGCTTGAAAGAGAGCAAACATTTAAGATTCGGACTCACGCAAAGTTTCTTTTCATTTATGCATTCCTGGTCCAAATCAGAATATAGCAACTTGTAGCCCTCATCAGGGTCATCAAATGTAACGTACGCTCTGAAACGTATGTCCCACTCACGAGGAATTACGAAGTTAACACGAAATGTCCCTTGTTCCACATATACACGAATAATAGCTTTAATATAGGCCTCCATACTCTCCTTAAATCTCTTAAGCTCTCCTTCAGTTATTCTGTTCACAGTCTCATCTTCTTCACTACTGGATTCACTATCATCCGCCTCACTGCCATCTTCAGAATGTAGCACATACGCGTTTTGAGCATGGGGTCGACGATTCTTTCTACCATGGGGTTGCAGATACGGGTATTCATTGTCGTATTTTTTGTAGCCCATCTTCAGGGAAAAGTTTGGACTGACACGCCGTCTTATCTCTTCAATCAACGATTGCTCCTCACATAAGCATAGAATTTGACTAGACATAAACAGCTTGTTGTGGCTATATTTATCAAGCAAAATTTTGATTTTGAATCCCATATAGGCTATAGAGAAGCCAAGTTCCATTAAGGCGGTATTGCAGTGTTGAGGGCTGTCAAATGAGAGAGAGGCATGGGTTGCTCTCTCACGTCTCTCCCACTCTAGTCTCAGAGTAAACTGCTGCCCTTTCTGAGGGTATAGGCGTACAGTTGGAGAGTCAAACTCTTTGATGGCACGTTTAGCTTCAGATGCAGTGCTGTAGGTAACACACAATCTAAGTCCATTTGCATCATTTCTCATCATCTTTGTTGTCTTTACTTTGCCATATTTCTGCAGACAGCTTGTAATTTTTTCAGGCGATTCACTTTCACTATTACTCACAACAATTACCGAGCGAAATTGGTATGGCATTATCATTTGCTGCACTGTCCCACCTGCACCAATAACTGCTCTTGTCCAGTCTTGCTCATTGGTAAGACTAAACTCTTTTGTTTGCTCTTTGTATTGTTGTTGTATATCACCAACTGTACTAGCTACAACTAGCTGAAGAGCATCGTGATCTTTCCTCTGTGCAATGACACGGATAACACCCCATTGCTTTGGTTCAGGAGATAAATCGAAAAAAGGAGCTATGGTACATGGTCCAGTGTGAACTGCCACAGTCTCCAGTACTTCAATTCGTTTAAGCCTCATTTCCTTGAGAGTTTGTGGGCCAGTACAGACAACATGTAGGGGCAAGACCATGTGGTTAGCATATGTTACTGCTGGATCCTCTGTTAGTCTTCCTGTGGCCACAGCTTCATCGATCCATTCTTGTTTAACAGACATGACCTGTGTAAGGAATTGGCGTGATGTTTTTAGTGTTTTCTCATACAATACATATTTCGGAGTACAACCAAGATGATTGAGGGAAGATCCTGGAAATATTAGAAACGAGCTGCTACTGTCGCGTAAGGCAGTGGTCATGTATCCAGCCCTTTGGTGCCCAAGATATACAGCCAGATTGTTGACGAAAGCATCAAAATAGAGTTTACCCAAATAACACTCAGCAGCATCAAGCGATTCAACGATTAAACTCAGGGTAATTTTAAGCTTTTTTAACAAGATATGTCTTAGCTCCTTCACCATGTCTTCCACTACACGCATGCTCTTTGCATTGACAAACTGTTCAAAGCACCACTTCCTTTGTTTACTTTTATCTACCCCTTGCCAGCATTGGTAAACTGAAAGGTTTGTCATTTGATCACCCAGTGGGTGACAAAAATGGAGTTTCTTCTTGTCACTCTCTTCTTTCATCTCATCTGTTCCGCCACGAAAAAACACCTGCCCTGAAAGGCTGGACAGGGCCACCGAAACAAGTGCTTCGGTGCCTACCTCTTTACTTACACCGTCCAATAATACTTTAGACAACTGTGGTTGTAAAGGAAGGACTGCCATTTTTCTGCCAAGCTCTGTTAGATTACTGTCTTCAATGGCCCCCACAGATTTTAGTGTGTCAACAGCAGCCTCCAGAGCATTGCGGTCTGGGTGCTCTACAAAATCAAACGTGAGGACATTCGGTACACCAAACTCAAGCATCTTCAAAACGACGTGCGATAACTGGATCCTTAGAATTTCTGGCTTTGATCTGTCTGGCATTTTGGACGCATAATCATCCACAGTGTACAGACGGTAGCATTTACCTGAACTGACTCGACCGGCTCTTCCTTTTCTCTGTTCTGCCGAGCTCTTGCTGATCATGCAAACTTCGAGCGAATCCATATTTTTTCTAGAATCAAAGTGCATTTCTTTTGAAAGACCTGTGTCTACGACGTACTTCACACCAGGGATAGTGACAGAGGTTTCGGCAACATTTGTGGAGAAGATGACCTTTCTCCTACCAATGCTCTCGTCAAACACCTTCTGTTGCTCCTCTGGAGGTAATTTTCCGTGTAACGGTAGTACAACAGCTTCATGCTGAAGGTAGTATTCGACTTCTTTACAAGCCCTCTCGATCTCAGGTGCACACGTCAGGAATACTAGAATATCACCTGGTGGTTGTTTGTTGTGAATGGTCCTCACAACCTCTACCGCACGCATCACATAATCACTATCTGCTGAAAGTACCACTCTAGAGTGGAGAGGGTCATACTCCACCTCAACTGGGAAGGTTCTTCCTGAAACTCTAATAGTTGACACCACATCATTTTCTTTTTCACATTTCTCGAAATATTTAACAAACAGCTCAGGCTCAATTGTGGCTGACATTATGACTAATTTCAAATCATTTCTTGATGGTAGGCACTGCTTAATAAAAGCCAGAAGCATATCTGTGTTTATGCTTCGTTCGTGAGCCTCATCAATTAAGACACAAGAATACTTGGAAAGCTGACGGTCTGCAATGCATTCATTCAGAAGCAAAATTATGATCAGTCATGTAAATTATTTTGGTTCTCTTACAGCACTTTTTATGCATACCCACCTTATACCCTAGTTCCTCGCCAAGGCTTACATGCATCTCTTTGCTAACATGCTTAGCGAGAGTAATAGCTGCCACCTTTCTAGGCTGGGTACACACTATGACACCATTCTCTGCCATCCCTGCATCATACAGATACTGAACCACCTGGGTACTCTTCCCAGACCCAGTTTCACCAACAAGCACAGTCACTTGGCTTTTAAACACAGTTAGAACAATTTCTGAACGCCGAGCATATATAGGAAGGGCCGATATAAGGTGGTTGCGTTCACGAACCATTTTTGCTTCAATGGCATTTAACACTGAGACCTCTATGTTACATGAGAGACAAATTAGTTGATTCTCTACATAAATTTCAAACTCATATCTCTGTTGCTCGCATTCTGAAATCTTCAAATTCAAAGCTTTTCTTTCTTCAGATATTTGCTGATGCTTGTCAATGTCGATATAACCTTTCTTTGTTGCGAGCCGTGAAAGTTTCCCTTTTAAACACTCAATTTTATTCTCATGCTTTGCTAGGCATTTTCCATTATCTGCACGAATTCTCTTACACAATTCTATAACCAATTCGACTGAACTGAATTCTTCCTTACATTTCAGAATGTGAAGGGCGTTTATCGCTCTAGCGTTGCTTGAAAATTGTATTACAGCACTTTTTATCATTTGAGTATGATCATACTTGGTCTCCTCTATATCACTTATGAAGGCACCAAGATTATTACGTAAAAAAACCTGGACAGACTCTCTATTTCTTGCGCATGAAAATACAATCCAAAGAGAAGAGGACTCTCTTCCTCCACTAACGCACTGCTGTGGTGCAACTTGTTGATTGGTCTCAATTTTATCTTCACGTTCGGCACTGTTTTCCGTGCTTTGATCAACTATTGCATCATTCGAAGTATTGGCGTTTCTTGTAGGAAATCGCTTTTTATCATCATCAATAACAAGGATAGCATCGCGAGGTTTATTTCGCCTAGGACTTGCATCGTACGGAGGTTGTACGGACTGACCTTCTCTTGTGGATGAGTGGGCTGAGTGACCTATCCATTCACCCGAGTTTTGTGTTGTTGATTCCAATTGAGCATGTATACAGCTTTCAGTTTCTCCTGCATACAAGGTGGAATGTGTCAACAATGAGGTATATAGAAAGGCAAAGTAAAGTAAACAAGTCAAATACACCCAGGACAATTCCTTTCCTTAAGTAAAAAGGGAAGAGCAGTCGGGAACCATTCTTTATTCCAAGTAAAAGCGGTAGAGCTGCCCTATGTGGGATTCAAACCTGCTATATACACTTCATGTACAAGCGAGCACTCTACCATGGTATCTACTATTATCTTCAATGTACCTGATGCATCTCCTGGTGAGGATAGGTTTTCTTCAACTTCCAATAGGGCTGCCATACATACGAATAACACAATAGTCAGTCCTGGACAAAAAGAAAAACTATTTCTCTGACACGAAGGAGAATGAAGCATGGGTTTATGCACCGGTCATCTAGCACAAGCAAACTCCCCAGAGACACAGCAACCACATTACAACTCCACTAAGGGCATGGGAGTGTGCAATATTTTGCACCAGCACAGGCACAAGTGGTGTATATCACATTGTGGGTCTGCAGCTATATAACAAGTCTAAGCAAGAGCACATGACATAACACGGAGCGTGTAACTCATGGACTGGCAGAATTACTCACCAGTAGATCGTACGTGAAGGTGTGCAAAACACCGGCTATATAATATCATATGATACATGTGAATATATTCACGTACCCGAGTACAGCTCTAAGATCATTTCTGCGGCTAAATTCTACAAATAGCAACACATGTCTGGTAGCTGCACTATTACCATCAGAGACATACTGTAGCAGTGGCTTTTTTAAATTGCTGTGAGAAAGGTTTGATGTTCCTGAAGATAATTGACTATGTCAAAATGGGCCGTCCTGGTATATATACAAGTGCTTCAATGCTCTCATGCAATGTGCACATTTATCAGTGTTCAATAAGTGCTGTCTTCATGTGTTAGGGAGCAATGCTTGGCAGCACTTGGCTGCATGTGCTGTCGGGTGCAATTAGTACCTACAGGAGCATAGGATTGCAAAGCTTTTTGAGGTGAAAGGCACATATACTGGACCATGTTGTTAGCACCTGGCAGCACATGCCACCTCATTATATTATGTGTTCGTATCGATGTTTTTTGTATGGTTCATTTTATATATTGCAGATTATTTTGATACCTTTTGATAACTTTTATAACGCCTGTGTCCGTACCGTCTCAGTCATTTCACTGCCACCATGCATCAGCTCACGTGTTTTTGCAAGTCCCAAGTAAACCCTTATGGTTATGTGTGTTAATTGTAGCCCTTCTGAAGTCCTGTTTTCTTCTCTTTTTCTTTCTTTCTTTCTACATAATTATGTATAATTATAGCATGAGCTGTTCAGTTTTCATGCACATTCACACTGACACTTAGAGTGAAGTCCACCGCTCACGAACAGACAAGAATGAGGAACTGAGATCGGTGAAAGAAATGAAGCTCACCAGAATCAATGATGCACTGCTTGGCAAGGGGTCATTACACAGCAAAGACACAAAGCTACATGACACCATCCCCATACCTTTGTTCCATTGATATAGGGATGGTGTCATGTAGCTTTGTGTGTCTTTGCTGTGTAATGCTCCTGTTCCTTTTTGGTGCTTCAAGCCATCCCTATTATCCCCTTCATGGGAACAATAACCCTAGCTAGCTGTAAGTTGTGCAGCAGTGTAGGCATACGTATCATCACTCACATCCCCCTAGATATTCACAAAACTCACTCAAAGGACTGGTTCACTAAGGACTCCATGTCAAAATACCTCCCTACATACCGGTTCACTGATGGGCCCGCGGCAGATCGCCGCCCCGCTTCAGTGCAACGTACTGACACGCAGTCCATATTGGCTAGCTATCATACACCTAGCCTTAGGTTCCGACTTCACATGATCCGCTATAGCTAGGTCCCAAACTCACCAGAAAACAACTATACTCGACGACTGGTGCGTGCGCGGCTGGGCTACAGCTCTTCAGTGTCAGTTCTCGATCATGATCGTAACCCCCACAATAATAATTGCGAGCACTCAATCTCCGCATACGCATGCGCGTGATGTCGTGAACAAGCCTGCTGCGCTGGCGTATGTATACAATGGGAAAGATTTAATATGAATTCACCAATTATAGCAGTGGAGCACTAAACAGATAGGCTAGTATCCTCCAATATCTTCCTTGGGTTTCTTCTGATGCCAACGTGTCTCACTGGGGTCAAACCCCTGTTGAGGATGACCAAACATGGCCCAGTCTGGAGTCAATGCCATGTAATCCACCGCTGAGAACATCTGTGTCTCCCATGAATTCATGAAGGCATTATTCTGCAAAAACACAATAAATTGAACAGCGGATGATAGTGTTGTGAACTTGGATTGCAGTAAACTATAAGCTGTATACCAATAAATACACAAGAGGCTCACCAATTCAATGAATTTGTCAAAGTCTATCCACGTGTGCCATCTTCCATCAACTTTAAACTGAGAATTGCACAAAACCTGAATTATACACAAATCAAGAACACTGCCAAAAGACCTAACATAACTATAATATACCTTCTTGTGTGCAATGAGAACACAGTTTGAGTGTTCATGCTCACAAGCAACCTCGTAGTTAGGGAGCATGACAGCAAACCTTTGTACAAAATTCACCACCTGTTGCAACATAACAAGAGAGAACAGTTCTGGAAGAAAATTATCAAGTGAAGTAGCTAGCTAGACATCAAAATTGCACAGTTTTTATGCAAATGATTATTACCCGACTCTGTCACACAGAACAATGTGCATGCATGCACATCCCATAGAGCTGTTCAAAGCTCATGCAATACTTGCTCGCATTCTCTCATCACAATGTATTTCAACAATTCCAGTAGGTATACCTCTTCGTGCCAGGGTACGTTGGACATTGTCAGATTGGATGCTTTGGAATCACCACAGTAGGTCACACCCTACGGGGGCATAGCATACTTCATAAGTGGTGTATCGACAATGACAAAATCTTGTTTATTTATCCAGAATCATTCTGCTATGCCTAGTCAGGCGTCTACGTACACAACAGTGAAACCACTCCACTACTCTTTGAGCCTCCCTGTACAACGAATGCCTCATGTAACATTAATCTCAATAAAGTCTGGAACACCCTTTGACACCAGTGATGCATATGCCTCCAGTTCTTCAGTGTTCCACTCTTTCACCAGGGTCAGTCTGTACACTGTCCTTTGGCGCTGGTGAATAACAGACCACAAACTACATTATAGCAGGATGAAGTTTAGTTCACCTTTTCAGAGAG